CCACCTATGGCAGATATTTTACTGGATAGGTATGAGGCAAGGTGTAGAAGAATCGTGCAGGACATACAGTACATGTTGTGCAAAAAGGGGACCCAAGCATAAGGGACGTGCTCCAATGAAGTTATATCAAGTTGGTGAACCAAAGAAAAGAGTACCCGTTGACATTGCTGGTCTTTTGCCCCAAACTCGCGCTGGAAACAAGTACATTTGTGTGGTGATGGATTATTTCACCAAGTGGCCTGAGGCATATGCAATACCAAATCAGGAAGCTACAACTCCTATAAAGTTCTAATGATGTGTTGTCAAGTTTTTCAGTATATTTGAAGTTAGATTATAAATTATAGATAGTTGTGAAGTTTGGATAGTTATTATCAAGATAGGGTTTTGAATCAGACAATGTATTATCGTCATGTATTTGAATCTGTGCTTGCTGTCTAGCTATCAAGTAAGTTGATTTATTTTACGACGGTATATATGTGTTTAAGCTCGTAGGAGATAATGAACTAAGCTGTGATTATTACGTGGACTGGACGTTAAATTATTCTAACTGGATAATTTAAAAGAACCTGGCAATGAAAGAACATAGCAAAGAATAATAAAGACGAATATTCAAGTATAGTTTACCAAAAATATATTAACCAGCTCTACGTTTCAAAGGCAGTAAAACTTATAGTAGCTTCATGTAACTTTTAAATCTATCTCATTGATTTGTTAGTAAAACAAATTAATATTACAGCTAGTTTAAGTTTTCAAATGTCACAGTATACAAATCATGTTTAAAGTTATATTTCCAGAATGTCACAAAGGGCAGCTCAGCAGCTAAGGCTGGATTAAAGGAAGGAACAGTGGTTACTCACATCAATGGAAGGTCTCTTCATGGGAAAAGTGAGTTTCAAGTGTTTGCCATGATGAACACCATTGAAGAAGACATAGAGGTGTCTGTTCTAGCCCCGTGCGAACTTACTAATCAATCTCAAACCAGTGGGCAGCAGAAGGTCACCAATCACGGACTGAAAACTAGACTTGTTAAAATCTTTGCACCTCTGATGCAGAAGAAGGATGCTGGACTGTTTTCAACTTCTACGAAAGGATATGAAGCTATTTAAGGTGCTCCAATGCGATGCTTTTGGACCTTATTGTTTTGTACAGGGTGTCCCAGAAGTATGTACTCATAGGGAAAATGTACATATATTCTTAAACTAACACATTTCTAATGTCCGTTGTAGATATTTCAGGAAAGAAAATACCCTGATGACACAGTTTACCAAGAATTGGTATGTGTTAACGGCATGCAATTTGAATAATGAATAAATTAAGAATACAATGTGTATTTTTCCTAGGGGTCCAGACTTGTGGAACACCCTGCGGGTAGAAACTTCGGTTCTCCCTGATAAAACGATATTTCCTTTACAACATAGGTTTTAAGGGAATGCTAAAATACTAAGTTGAAAAAGAATTTGGTGATAATTTATCACTGGTAAGTGGCTAGATAGCGAAGCTTGTTTATAAAGTGAAGAGACCTAATGCCGTTAAAAAACACACAAAAAAAAACACGTCATGTTGTCACTCAGTTTTGAATAAATTCCTTATATCGCTAACAATTACTAACAAATTATACATTTAACAAATAGATATGACTACAAAATGGAATATATAACAGTAACGAACAAAAAATACATGAAATTATGGATATATCTAAATAAAACAAAGCACCCAAAAACAGTAATCGGGTTTTCTAAATATATCAATTAATTTAAGAAAGGATAGTTTAATTGCTTTTATTTGGAACTATTTCTTTTACACACCATCAGCATAATGTCGTGCTGCGTAGAGATACAACAAACTCATGTGAAAGTGATCAGGCTATAACCATGTTGCCTTGAAGAGATCGAAGTAAGTGAATCCCTCTTTATGTATATTTTGATATGAAGGGAAATGAAAAGGTAAAATATAGGCTGTACTCTGCAGCGCTTAGTTACAGGGACAGTGTGGGAATAATGTTAAAAAAACATCAACATAAGGTATCCTGCTGGATCTAGCGCGGAGGACAGGGGAGCGAGCCCCATATAAAATTATGCATTATTTGACTATTTTTATATATGTACAGAATTTAGATATATATATATTGTCGGATACATGAAATATCCCCAACGCGTTTGGGTGCTATGTCCACAGACATTATCCGTTATGACATAATATTGACAACTAGGACTGATGATGGATAATAATAGTATAATTTTAGTTCTATTGTAATATTTGAATAGAGTTGTTTAAACATTTGTTTAAAAATACGAAGAATTAAATTGTGGCGAAATGCTACAAGTTCTTCAAATACCTACAGAATGATAGGTTTCTTTTTTGTGAGTGTAACAACACTTAAGTACACTATTTCGATTGTATATATATATATTAATTAATTATCCTA